ATTTGATGTGACAGCAAGCTATCCAGTTGAAAATGATCCAGCATGAAGATTCTACAATAGGGCTTGAGAAAAATATCAGATCTTGGTCATCTGAGTATCAGCAGGAAAAGAGTAGAAGTTATAAAAAGAGGGGAAAATATCTGAGAAACTGGATTCAGACAGTGAAGGGTGGAGAGATCCAAAAACCGAATCTTCAGGAACATTAAGAGTTCAGCTCTAGCCCTCCGCCTTTCTCTTTCCCTTTTCTAGGTGATCTCATCTGATTATAGAGCCAACTTGGCTAAACAACCATGTACACTCACAATTCCAATCTTCCTTGTTATGAATAGACATAGAAATGCAAACAAAATGCAAATACTTAAGGAAACAATGAAAGCATTCTATGTACAAGCAGAGAAATAAAAACAACATAAAGCTATAAGGAACAGATTTCTATGGGAAAATTAACTTCCAATTTTTAGTATTTGTGAAAATATTGGTCTTATTTATAGGTAAAAGGAGATAGATTTTTGGAAGCTTTAGGAATCAATCATGGTGTACATGGGAGTCCTTGAAGTGTTAAACATTGTTGAAAAAAGACTCAGAACCTATGGTAAATATAAAACAAATTTATTTTAGAACCTAGGAATCAAGAAGTCAAAAGAGTCTTTTTATATGTTTGTATTTTTTGAGCAAATACATTTAAAAATAAACTCACAAATGAAGACAAATAATGGTGATGTAGTTTAGATCATGATTGTGTAAGATTTTGAAGGCTATAAGAATAAAATGTTCCCAGAGGTCTCAAAAATAGAAACAGGGGAAAAAATTTTAATGTAAACTTTTTAAAATTTCAGTAGCAAAGAGACGGAATGACAAGAGGGAAAACGTGCAGACAGGCTGGATGGTGTAGTCTGAACCAGAGAACATGTGCGAGATTTATAACTGCTATTTCATACAACATGCAGAAGGATACTCCCAAATATAATATTGGTGTGAGTAGACATCTTGGGTGTGACAAATGAGGAAAGAGAACCAGAAAAGACACATGCCAAAAGTTGACATGATAGCTGTACGCACTACACTTGGACAGGAAACATTGAGAGGAAAAAATTAACCAGCAGAGAGGTCCAAAGGCTGTGTCTAAAAAATTATATAATCTTGAGTTCAACCACAGACTTTGAGAAAACTGCTGAGTCCGTATGACCCTCACTCAGTTTCAAAGTCCAAAGCTAGTAGTCAGTCAGGAGATTGACTGGTGGCTTCAAATTATCAGTAAAATAATAAAACCAAATTAGAAGTTAAATTCTTAGTTGTTGTTGCTGCTGGGGATGGAACCCAGGGTCCTGAGCATGCTGAGCATATACTTTGTAACTGAGCTTTAGGCCAAGCCCAAGTTAAACTTCTCTTAAACACCATAACCAACTCAGAAGAGCAAACTTCAACCACTCTTTTTATATGGGCTTAAAATAAMTTCCTCATTGTGTGACCTTGACTTATTTAGGAACCTCTCTTGACTCTAAATTATAAAGTTATCAAAACAAGAGTAACCAGAGTGACTTTAGTTTAGTTGGAAATACAGTAATCAGCCCACAGAATGCATCCTTTAGTATATGCTTAATGTTGGATGAAATGTAGTTGCACCTTTATTCTGTACTCCTATGGCTAGGATTAAACCAGTTTAATTTGTCCCTGGCTTTATTTGTCTTTCCTCAGAAGTCTGACTTAATCACTTTGGATTAAGTAGGTTGAAATTTAAACCAAAGTCAGAAGTTGTGTGTTTTTTTTTTAAAGAATCCTACTCCCTACCTAGCACTGAAGTGGCTGCCCTCACCTCTAACACCATCCACTTTTACATTCAACATGGCAGCGATGCAGCTCACAGGGAAACTGAAGAGTTTCTCTACCAAATAAGTTTATCTCTAAAAGATCATTTCAAGGAATACATTAGTCTCATACTTTTAAAAAAGGTGCTGGGTAGTTTGTCATCGTTTATAATGTGAACTCCTAGTTTTGCCCCTTTAAAAGACTCCAGCTCTTAAGAAAGAGCAAGTGGCTGATGGTGGTAGGTATTTTCTTACCTTTCAATGCATAGCTCACCCCACAGTGAAAGGTGACCTACACCCTCCCCATCATTCAACTTTACAGCCTACACTAAGGATGGTCAGGCTCAGACTTCCATGACGATTACCCTTCTCCTCCTCACAATCAATTTCCAATATAAATAATTTTGCTTGAATTAAATTGTGTAACCATCTATAAATAATTTTTGGTATTGATTCATTTAACCATCTTTTGTCATTGGTTTGGGGTCCTTAAAATATACTAAAATCATGAGGCAAGATAATAAATACCTTAGAATTACCTAACAAGCTTTTATAAAGAACAGAGTGATGCAAAAAGGAGAATGAAGAAACAGTTTATTGTGAAGAACAGCAAAGGTTTAATTACATATAGTTTTCTTGAAAAGTAGAGGCTATTATACCAAACAAATTCTAAGAAATATCAGAAAACAGAATTTCCAGTGCAAATTTTATGCATATTTATTACCAATATGTAGCATTCAATAAAGTGACTTCTCCAAATTAGTTGTGTGTGGTGTGTTTATATATATACACACACACATACATATACATACATGTTTGCATACATATATATGTGTGTGTGTGTGTATATATATATATGATTAAATGACACTGGTAAATATATCTTCATTAAGGTGTAAATTTTATGCTTGCTAGTGTATATTTTCAATTATGAGTTAAGGGCAAAATTACCATCTGCCTTTGAATACATACTTCAATACATACTTAAAAATTTCATAAAGCTATTCTGTGTTCTAGTTTATAAGCAAATGTCTCCACAGACCTTTCATGTGTTTATAGTTAGCACACTGTAACTTAATATGTATTTTAAATAATATTGCTCAATGGGATGTCAGATACTGTAATTACATAATTATAATCACAGTATAATTATGGTTAAACTATAAACCATTTTATTGATAAAGAATTTTTCATCGAAGAAAACTACACAAAAGTGTGCCAAAATGGTTTTAGATTATATAATAAAATTTATGAGACTTGCAATAAAGTTTATCTTTAAACACAAATATAAAAAGTCGATAGTGATTGTTGATACATGTGCTGGCTTATAGCCTCCCTAAATATATCTATTTATGTGTTCTGAAAAACTGGTAATAAAATATAATTTTCTTAAATTGCAGCAAAATACATATAATTTAAAATTTCACCATTGCAACTATTTTTAAGTATACAGTTCAGTGGTATTAAGTACCTTTGCACTATTATGAAACAATCACCACCAACCATTTCCCAGAACTATATTAGCCCTCACACAGAAACTGTATCCATTAAACACTAATCCCTCATTCTCCCTCCCACAATCCCTGACAACCACCATTCTACTTATAGTCTCTGGGAATCTGACTGTTTTAGGTATCTAATATAAGTGGAATTATAATAATATTTGTCCTTTTGTGACTGGTTTTTTTCACTTACTAGAATGTCTTAAGGCTTATCCTGTTCACAGCATGTATCATAATCTCATTCTTTTTTAAGGATGAATACTAGTCCATTATATGTATTTATATGCATATTCAYTTTATTTATCCATCTATCTATTGATGGATGGACACCTGGGTGGCTTCCACCTTTTAGATGCTATGAATAATGCTATTACAATCACAGCATTTGTTCAAGTTCTTGCTTTCACTCCTTCTGGGTATATACCCAGAAATGGAATTTGTAGATCTTATGGTAATTCTATCTTTAACTTTTTGAGGAACAGTTTTCCACAGCAGCTCTACTATTTTATGCTTTCACTTGCAATAAACAAGGGTTAAAATTTCTCTATATAGGAATGAATTTTTGTTTTTGTTTTTGTTTTTGTACTGAGGATTAACCCAGAGGCACTCTACAACTGAGCTATATCCTCACCTCAACCCCTGTTGGCCCCTGCCTTTTTAATTTGAGAAAAGTTCTTGCTAAGTTGTGGAGGCTGGCCTCAAACTTGTAATCCCCCTGTGTCAGCCCTCCAAGTAGCACAGGTGTGTGTCACCATACCTGGCTTAGATTATGCTTAAAAAATAAAAAATATGAATTAATATTTTGTGATATAATTTCTGGTCTTGTTTCTTTTCATTTCTCTGTATCACTTGCTTTTATTACTAAAATCAAAACTGCAGGATTTATGACGCAAAATTCAGACTGATGAGAAACCTGAATTCCAAAAAGTCTCTGGCAAGGAGAGACAAGAAAGTTAAAAGTTATAAAAGTTAAATCAGAGGCATGTCACAACAATTTAAAAAAATGAGGCGGGGGGGACTAGCACCAAATATAATGGGGTCAGAGTAGAATTTCCTCCCTAAATTCCTAATGCTACAGTACATTCCTTAGACTGCAGGCAAATTTAACTCACAAGCTGAGAAGGGAGGCAAAAACAAACTCTAATAATAGCAAACTAAAGCAAAGTCCATACTGAGTTTGACCCTTCGGAGAGAGATAAAAAAAAAAAGATAATTAGATAATAAACACCTAGATTTGCTAAGGCTTCCTGATGGAGAGGTAATCATGAATTTAATTTTTCTATTATATTCTTCAGACTGCTGTATAAGTTGATAAGTTGAATAATGACAATTTGGTTTCAAATATCATAATTATCTGTTTACATTAAATTAAGAAACATTTAAAGGATAGGATTTAAGTAAAAATATCCAAAAGATGGGAATTAAGAAAAACATCCAATATTTCAAACAGGCTAGCATTAGAATCACCATTCTAAGTTTAGGAGTAATAATATTGTAAAGATAATAATAACATATTATATATAACACATAATATACATATTATAAAGACATATATATCTATTACTTTCATATGAAAATATATTCTCTATAAAGCAAAATAATTTTTACTTTATAAAATACAGTAATATAAATTTGAGAAAACAAATTTATTTTTGTGATAAATTCTAAATTTTGAGATGAATTCTAAAATTTTTAAAGAAAGATTAAAATAATTTAGTTAAATTTAATCAAAATTACATCAAAATAGAATTTAAGAATTATAATCTGGGCATGAAAGAATATCATGATCCTTTTCCAGAGTTATTTCAAAATTATTCACAAAGGATTTTGATCAGCTTAGCTACTACATGCACATTGAGACTATTTCCAAGTAGACGGTAACACTGTTTCACTGTTATCTTCTCAGGAAATCCTAAAAAAGAGAGATAAAAATTCATAATTTGATCATTTGTAATAGTAATTTCTAGAGCTAAAAGGACTCATCCTTTAACAAAGATACAGGGATCATTTCATAACACCATTTCAGTCAACAAGCACATATGATGGTAGTCTCATAAGTTGATATCACCTAGTGACATTTAGTTGTCTTAATTTGTATAAGTACACTATTATGTTTACACAGTTATGAAGTTGCCTGAGTATACATTTCTCAGAATCCATCCTCATTGTTCAACAACATATAACTGTAAATCACTAAAGTCTCCGATAAGTTTTACTAATAAATGAAGAGTCTGGATCCAAAAATATTATGTAGCATTTTATTATATTGTCCACATAATGAATATTATAATATCCCAGTATATTATATAGCATCAAGTTATGGGTGATGCATACATGCACATATGTACACATAGATGTTCACAGAAATAGAATTCATAAAAATTCATGTATTAATGAACTTTAGATAAAGTACTGGCTATCATTTTTTTCTAAGTTGTTTCTTTTATCTTGTAACATTTTTATAGAGATAAAATTCATCCTTTTACTGATGAATTTTAGAATTCACCTATAAAATTTCAGTGGTTTTAGAATAGTTTTTTTTAAAACATCTCCACTAATTCTAGAACATTTTCATTACTTCAAAAAAGAAAACTTATGCCCATTAACGGTCTCTTGCTACTTCCCCTCATGTCCCCCAACCACTAATCTAATTTCTCTATCTATAGATTTTTCTATTGGGAACACTTCACATAAATGGAACCATAAAATATGTTCTTTTGTGTTAAAACATTCTTTTGCTTGGCATAATGTTTTCCAGGTTCATTCACATCATTGTGTGTTTCAGTACTTACTTCTTTTTATGGATGAGGAAAATTTTATTGCATGAATATACCACATTTTATTTATCATTCATTCATTCATTGGCAAGACACTTAGACTATTGTGAATAATGTTATTATGAACATTCATGTATTAATTTTTGTGTGAAAATGTTTTCAATTCTCTTGGACATATAACTAGTGGTGAAGCTCTTGAGTCATACAAAAATGCTATGTTTAATGTCTGCAGTACTGTGCTTTCTGAAGCATGAGACAACATTACATTTCCACCAGCAGCCAATGACAATTCCAACTTCTTCACATCTTTGCCAACACTAGTACCATCTTTTATTTTAGCCATCCTAATGAGTATGATGTGGTTTGATTTACAATTCCCTAATAATTAAACATATTAAACACCTTTTTCATGTGCTTATTAGCCACTTGTCTATCTTTTTTAAAGAAATGCTGATTCAAATCCTTGGCACATTTTTGAGCTGGACTATCTTTTCTTTTTATTGTTGAGTTATAAGGTTTTTTACATATTCTGGATACAAAAAAATTCATCAGTTGTTTTTCATACATTGTTAACACATACTGATTTTCTCATGATGGACTTCTATTCACACTCAGGACACTTGGCATAACAATAAATTGAAGGAAATTTAAATTAGATAATAAAATGAAGGACATAATTAAAAGCATTAAAAATAGTAAAATTTCATTATATTTGTAAGGATCATGGGTAGAGTTAGTTATTCTAAAGTTGCTTCATTAATTCTTGACATATTAATAGCAATGAAATAAACAGTAATTGCTATTAAAAACCATTATTTGCAATTGATCATGATTATAAATTACATATCCTAAAGATAATATATCACAGGCAAAGAATGCTAAAGAAAGAAATTAAAGAAAACCTTAGAACATGGAAAAATCTGCTTTTTGGATAGGCAGAATTAATATTGTCAAAATGACCATACTAACAAAAGCACTATACAGATTTAATGCAATTCCAATCAAAATCCTAATCACATTCCTCCAAAAAAATAGAAAAAGCATCCTAAAATTGCCACAAAAAAAAGAAAGAAAGAAAGAAAGAAAGAAAGAAAGAAAGAAAGAAAGAAAAAGAAAGAAGTAGAAAAAGCAGTCATGAAATTCATCTGGAAAAATAAGAGACCCAGAATAGCTAAAGCAATCCCTAGCAAGAAGAGGGAAGCAGGTGGCATCACTATACCAGACCTTACACTATACTACAAAGCTACAGTAACAAAAACAGCATGATATTGGCACCAAAATAGACTGGTAGACCAATGGCACAGAATAGAGGACACAGAGACAATTCCACATAATTACACTTATATTAATATGACAAAGGCACCAAAAACATATATTGGAGAAAAGATAGCCTCTTCAAAAAGTGGTTCTGGGAAAACTGGAAACCCATATGCAACAGAATGAAATTAAGCCTCTATCTCTCACCATGCACAAAACTCAACTCAAAGTGGATCAAGGACCTAGGAATTAAATCAGACACACCGCGCCTAATAGAAAAAAAAGTAGGCCCAAATCGCTATCATGTTGGATTAGGCCCTGACTTCCTTAATAAGACTCCTATAATGCAAGAATTAAAATCCAAGAATCAATAAATGAGATGGAGTCAAACTAAAAAGGTTCTTCTCAACAAAAGAAACAATAAGTGAGGTGAATAGAGAGCATACGTTTTGGGTGCAAATTTTTATTCACCTCAAAAACTAGATCAAAGTAGCCAGAGGTAGAAGTGTATCTACAAAGAAGCCTTTAGAATATCCCAAGGACAATCTTTTGCAATATTAAGATTATAACAAAGAGGGGGAAGGTTTGGAAAAAAGTCAAATTCCTAAAAATTGTGTGTGTATGTGTGTATGTGTGGGTATGTGTCTGTGTTTCCATGTGTACCTTATATACAGATGTTAAAGTCTAAATTTACTTACAGGAAAAGCTACATAAGTGATTAAAAGGTGACCTTTTAAAAACTTAGATACATTAAAGTAATAATAATCCTCACAAGAAATGGAAATTAACAAGGTCAAATAGTAGCTTTCATCCAGTTAGAGTCCCTCTCTTCCAAAGTCTGCTACCTCAGGAATGCGTGCTGCCAGTCACAAAGAACCAGGACAAAATGTACAGAAAGATCAATGCAAATCTATCATAGCCAGTGGACAAAAAGCTCAAACAATCATCATTTTTGGACCCGGAGTCAATAAAGTTGGAAACACTTGTGAAGGACAGTGTGTCATGGTGCTGCTCAGTGGTAACTTAAGGGCAAGCTTCTCTACACAAATATACCACAGAAAAGAAGATTCAGCAATATAAAAGACACTTTTTGCATGAATATTATATATATATACACACACATAAATATATATATATATATATATATATATATATATATATAGTCAAAGAACTTCGAAAAAATCTATTTATATAACCTAAAATTTTTAAATAGAAAAAATATGAAATAAATCTATAAAAGTAAATAAATGTCTACCATTTTAAAATAAAAGCAAACAAATTTTATATTGTCACAGATATTATGTAAGCATTTTAAACACACTAACTCACTTAACTGTCCCAGGAACCCTATGAAATAGGTGCTATAATTATCCTTGGTTTACAAACAAGGAAACTGCAATCTAAGAAAGGGGTTAAAGTGGGACTAGTATTCAAACTCAGTCTGACTCTGGGCTCTGTCTGTATCCTCACCAAGTTTCAGTTTTACCAGAGTGACTACTACTTCTAGAATAAAACAAATACTGCAATAAAAYGTAGGTATTCATTTTTATTTGATAGTCAATTGCTTGTCTCTCTTTAGTGGTCTGTAAAATATATCTGATTGTTCCTAAAAACAAAAAAAAAATAATAACTAGAAAAGCAAATTCAAAATTGGAATTCTGAATCCAATTCTCAGTTCTTCATTTGTTCTGTGATATTGTTTCACTCACTTTGTGACATAAACTAAGACAAGGAAAGTATGTTTTTCTTAATAACATTCCCCAGTATATTTGGAACTGAATATATCAGCAAAAATGACTGACTGACTGAGTAACTGAATGAATGAATGAATGAATGAATGAATAAATAAATAAATAAATAAATAAATAAATGCAGGGAGTAGAAAATAAACTTGGTTGCTGTAACTGGGCTCAGACAATCCACTACATTGCCAGTTTGTTCCCAATGTACAAAGAAATCTATGTTCTAAAACCTCATCTGCAAATTCATTATTTAGAATCTGAAACATGATTTATTTTACCCATTATTTATTTCAATAATAGTAACGTTATTAATATTACAATAGTATTAGATTTAACAGTTTCAATTTTCTACATTCAAATTTCTACTCAGAGTTGTCAAAACCACATTTCCTCCTTCTGTAGACCTTGGAAGTTGGTTAGGGAGGTCTATGTTTCTCTCTGACCATTAGCCAGGTACTGGAAGCACATCCACTGCCAAGCCTAAAAAGCCATCTCAGAGCACTGGCCCACAATGAGATGAGAAAGGGGTTACCACTGCTTTCAGCAAGCAAGGGAAATGTATCTGATCTCTTCACAGCAACAATTCCCAGAGTTCCTGGACTGCCAATGGAGTTAGAAATCTGTGTTTCTCACTCTATACTCCCATTTTCACTTTTGTTCTTGAGATGCCCTGGTACAGATCCCCTAATCTTTGTAAAGTCTGGCATCTGTGTTCCTGACCTCCCTTTCTTTCCTTTGGAAAGTTCTTTCCTAGACTACCTCTCCATCTGCCCTGTTCTCCATTAATTAACCCTTGTAGGAAAGGACAAAGACACACAATAGATGAAAATGTACTGTGGAGGAGAATAAATACAAACACCTTCCCCCAAATCCTCAACTAAACTGCCTGTTAATTTCTTCATTCAAAAAGCTAATCATAGGCATTCTTTCATAAGACCTAGCATGCGATTTACTAAAATCAAACCTCTGCAGTGAAACTCTATATAATGTACAACCACAAGAATGGGATTCTAATTAGAATAAGTTATAGTCTATGTATGTATAATATGTCAAAATCAACTCTACTGTAATGTATATTTAAAAAAACAATTTAAAAATATGAAAGTTAAAAAAAACAGATATCTGGAAGCAAGAAGATAAGCTGAAAAAAAAAGATGATTTAACAATCATTAGTGGGAGAGTAAGGAATTGTTGATTTGCTCATTTTTGCCAATGAACTCTGACCCATTACTAAAATTAAAGGAGAGAGCAAACTGAGTCAGAAGGGAATAGACTGAAAGGCAGATTCTTAGGGAAAGGGTAAAGAGAACAGGAAAATGCCCCCAATGGCACAATTAGGAAAGAAAGTTTCTTGAAACTACCTGTGTGGGCAAGGGCTTACTCATAACATATATATGTGAAAATTCTCTAATGAATTTTGAGAATTTCAATAAATGAAAGATGAGGTTTACCAGATCCCACATACCAAACTCTGGAGGAAATCCAAGGAGATTTGCTATTTCTTTAGGAGTAAAATATCGCAGTTTAAGCATTGACAACTTTGTTATCTTTTCTTCTTGTGGCAAATTGCCAAGGGATTTGTAGATACTCTCAATCTGTAAGAAAACATCCAAGATAACTGAAAAAGTAGCGTGTTGGAAACATATTTGTTAAGATTTCCAATAGTGAGACAGCTTTAAGAAGATGGACATAAATGGGAAAGAAAGTAGAATGAATCAGACATAACTTTCCTTTGTTCATACATAAATATACAACCAGTATAACTACACACCATGTATAATCACAAGAATGGGAAGTTAAACTCTATATATGTGTGATATGTCAAAATAAATTCTACTGGCATGTATAACTAAAAATAACAAATTTTAAAAAAGAAAAAAAGAAGGTGGATATATAGTCTGCCCTAATATATGGTAGCAAAATGCATGAGCAAAAAAGTGTCTCTGTGTAATAAAGTAGATAATTGTCTCAACAATGGCAATCTAAACTGTAAAAAGAAGAAAAGGCTAACATTGATCAGGATACTTTCCAGTATATCTGTCATTTTTGGTTATCTTAAAATTAATCATAATATAAATAATCATTGACAATATTACAAAACAGAAATATACTGAAAGATATAAAGGAAACTAGGTCAACCAACAAAGCCAATTTTACATTGCTAATAAGATCATTGAAAATATTTGTTGTTGACCATCAATTTCATCCAATCAAGAAACTTTCTTAAAATGACAAAATATATTAAATGATTTCTCAAATCCAGACTTTCATTTGCATATGATACTATTTTTATCCTGAGTAAATTTTATTAATAGTTAAGAGTTTGAATCAGCATAAAAGAAGATAATATGGACTTAAAATTATTTAAAAATTATAAAACTTACTACTAGGCATATATTCAACCAGAACACCATGAAGAGTTTACAACCAAAGAATTTAAAAAGTATATTGCTAAAACAGATTTTGTTTTCCTTAAAAGGAAGTTTTATAATATGTGCTACAAAAGAGGACTCCAATATTAATATGCCTATGGAAATTTTAGAGCATTCACTAAATTTCAACTTACTATTTATGGGAAAAAAAAGAAATGCAGAATATAAGAATAACAAAAGTAAGAATAAAAACAAAACCTTCCTTATGCATAAGCACATACACAGCAATAAGACTTATCTTATACCAAAGAAATTATGTGAATATATGTACATAAATGAATAACATATTTATTCCTAGCTGAACATGTAAAGTATTCATTCTCAATTGAACATGTAAAATTGTTTTGACAATCTCAAATTAAGTATCAAATGTAGATTTTTTTTTTTAAATGTGTCTGACAACATTATCCAGGCTGGCCTTGATCAAGATTCTCTTTCCTCAGCCTCTCAGGTAGCTGGGATTACAAGCAAGTACTACTAATGCTGAGCATAATAATAATACTTTTTTTTCAGTGCTGGGTATTGTGCAGGGCCTTGTGCATGCTAAGCAAGCACTCTACTACCGAGCTATACCACCAGCTGATGTAACATTATTGAAAGTTTTAAAATATTTCAGTTTTAAAACATCCATGGTACCTGCACATCCTCTGCCGTCTGTAACACAGATCCTGTCCCTTCTATGTAGCTTCCATAACTGAAAAAATAACATGAATATTATGTAGTACCTAATGTATTTGTTAATGCTTAATTTCTTATTTCTTGAATGATGTAATCTACATGTTTCTGAAATATCTGGAATGATATCACATTCATTACAGATGATATAATATGCTTTGAAAAATTATTAGGTAAAAATCACAAGGTAACTCTATTTAAAATTTTCAAAACCCAAACATGAAACTGTTTTTTGAGTTGCTTAAACACAATTAAATTATGTATTATTGTCATTTTTTAATTCTCGCATCTATAATGTTCACCACTAGCAACTATGAAGTTTATATTAAAAGACAATTCAATACTGGCATCCTGCCACCAAATGTTACATACATGAAAATAGATTGTGGCCATTTTCTTAAAATGCCTAAACCATTTATCTTTTCATAATGCCTAAACCCTGCTTTCTAATACCATATAAATACAGYCCCTCTAAGCCTGGGTTTGCCCTTCATTTAACCCAGTATGTTTTTACAGTCATTTTCATATAAGAATTAGACCATAACCATTAAGCTCTAATACAAAAAGAAAAAAATTACAAAAAAATAAAAAGAATGAGAACATCAAGTAAAAAAGATAAAAAGTATAAAATTCTTCAGAAATGAAAGGTATTTGTAGTATTCCTTTTTCCAATACCATTATCAAGCTAGCTGTTCAACATATTAACATTATTTTTTTGCAAAGAGAAAAATTTAATGTATAAATTGAAAAAAAAACACACACAAAGGAAAAATAATTTTTTGAAATTGTTTTTTCACATATATTGTGCATATAAATTTGTATTTATATATATTATCTATAATAAAAAAGACATTATAGTAAAGTTTCTTTTATACCATCTCAAGAATTTCAAGGTTGCTTTTTATCACAGAATTGATAAGTCTTACTTTATGAGAGTCCTAAACAGAACCTATTGGACTTGGCAATAGATAACAGCTGAGTGAAGTCTTTTAAGGTACTGTAAAGTAATAAACCCTTTCCCCTAGAAGTACAAGGGCAGAGTATGATAAACTTAGAATAAGTTTGTCAGGATTGTACCAGGGGCACAGTGTCTTATACAACATATCTAGTGAAAAGGTAAGAAGAAAATGCTTGAATTGTCAAATCATACAACTACCTATCAAATGAGGCTGAGTGGTAGGGATCTTTGGCAAAAGATTTCTGAAAAGGCCTAATGTTCTTTCTAGGTTTAAAAACATTGATGAAAAATATATTAAACATTCAATAAATAAGCCAAAAGAAGCCCCTTAAATGTTAGCCAATAACTAATGAGTAAAACAAGTAATAATATACCCATACCAGGAAAATAAAAAAGACTTTTATGTACTGATGTGAAATAATATCCAATTTATACTGGGCAGTGAAAAAAGGCATATAATAATGTACTTAAACACATCCTTACAATTAATACTTCAGAAAGATTATACAGTGCATTGATATATTGGTTTGCTTGCAAAAAGGGATACTGAACGGCCAAGAAACAGAAGTAGAAGGGACTCTTAAGCAATCTTAGTACCTTAAGAGCCAGGGCTATGAATCAGAGGTAGAGCATTGCTCAAAGACCCTGGGTTCAATTCCCAGCACCGCAAAAAAACAAAAACAAACAAAAAAATTTAGTGACTTTCGAATTTTGAAACACGGAAATATACTACTCCCTCAAAAAAAAWTTTAAATTAAAAATTAATTGAATGTACTTCAGCTGACTCAATTTTATTTATTTAGATTAAAATATAACTTCTTCTTATACAATGATCACAGAGTGGACATAACTCTTAGAGGTTTGACGTGTCATAGAAAGAAAGGTGCTAAAACACTGGAAATTTATGAGCTACAAAAACCATGTTTACACCATGAGTATTTAAGCTCCTATGAAGGTCATGAAACAAATGGCCTTCTCTCTTCTGAACACTTTTGTGGGTGGTGTACATAATGTTCTGCCAGAAGGAATTTTTACTTGTGTTCTACTGGAACATGAAACAGACAATTAGGGCAAAAATAATAACAATACAAGTAAAAATGCTATCAGAAACATTTTATAAAATTCTCCTTGTTTTGAGAAGAACTAAAGGAAATAACATCTATAAAAACCTGGTTATTTTGAATATAACATGAATAAGGTCTCTTTAAAACTTACCCTTTGGTAAAGCATGTGGACCTTCTGCAAGTGGGCTTAACAATATCTAATAAAAGAGCATATCGCAGCAATGACTTCGGGGGTAAAATGTACTGACTGATGTCAATATCATCTTCAAGAAAATCTTTTAACATTTGCACAGAGAGATCACTGTCCTGTTGATGTTTTCTTTTAATTTCTTCTACAGTTTCAAGTTTAAAAAGGATGGCATCTTTTCCAGAACATTCCATACTGCTATCAAAGCAAATATTGGGTTCTGTTTCCTTTATTTTAATTTTATTTTCTGCGTCCACTGCACATTTTTGTGGATACTCATACTCAGTTTTGGGAAACTCCATCAGTACCTGGCATTAAGTAAAAAAAATAGAAACTGTCAAAAGTCTTATTAAAAATAAAAGACAAATTAATAATGTTCAGTAAATATTATGTAAATACCTCTTTAATGTTTACAGTGTTGTTATTAGAAAGGAACTGTGGCTATCTTGTGTTTGTACCAGTTATTTCAAGTTATTAATCATATAGCTATAGTGCCATCAGGCTACAGATGATTTGTTTCATAGAATTACTATTTTCTGTATTTATTAACAAAACATTCAACAAAGTAATAGGAAGTATATTAAATATGGGTACAGTATAATATTTGAAAAAGTTTAGAAAGCAACATTACATTTCAAAAATATACATTTTCCATGTTCTTTATTTGAAAGGAAAAACTGGAACACAATCATAATCTAAAATAAAACTAGTGATTAAAAAAAGTGCTTTTCACCATGAAAAGTTATTTCTACTTGAGTCCCACAACAAAAACCTGTTTCTTCAAAACTCATAACCATGTATAAAGTCCCATTTTATAAAAGAAAGCCACTCCAGGCATTTTCAAGGATTAAGTCTTTGATAATATACTTTATACATTGCTTTTGGAACTGTCCACTATGGAAAGGGAAATATATTAGTATTATATCTCAAAGAAAAGAAATAACAAAACTGATTCCCTATTAGTAGGACTTGGCATTTTAATACTTAATAGTGATGGTTATAGAGAGCTTAATTGAACCACTGAAACTGTTATCCACCCCATTTTTTAATCAAAGCACATAAAATTGGTTCCATAATTAGAGTCCTATCTACAGCAATTAAGCATTTTACTCTAGCTTGTACTAATTAATACACTATTTAATTATACAATATTTAATTAATACACTAAAAACAGTACTAGTTTTAAAGAAAATGCAATCACTGTGTTAAAATACTCTTAAATAATTTTTAAGACAGTATATTATATTTTATCAAAAGTAACCAATCTTCAGTTGGGGAGAGAAAATGATAAATGCAAATAGTCAACGGTCAGAAGAAAAATTGTGGGGAGAGATGGGGGAACAACAMCACCAAGAGTAATTTTTTTCTTTTCACTTTTTTTCCTCCTAATGAAAAAAGAAATTTGAGTGCTTCATTTTGGGTTTGTTTAGTTTAAACCAATAAAACTGACATTCAGAGAGGACAAAGATATTGGAGATGGACACAGAGTATGGTCTATACGTATATACACATTCTATAGGACAGATATAAATCCACACAAAGTAGTTCTTGAAAATAAGTTAGCAGACTGGGATATATTTATAACAAATGAACCATAATAACAATACCTGACCAGGAGCTTGAAAAGGTAATGGCTCTGACTGAAGCTTTGCAATAAGGAAATACCTTAGCCTTGAATTTGGAATACCAAGCTGCAATCAAAGCAGAGCAATTAATTACTATACAAAAAGAAATCTGTACTAACTTTAGCACCTAGTAAAACAACTTGTACAGGTATACATCTAGCTTCTGCTAAAGAAAACTATGTTACTGATTTTTGGAAAACTTCTTTGTAACAAATTTGAAACCTGTTAAATTCTAGTAAGTTCTAACCCTGAACAGCTATTCTGTATCTTTACTCAAATGAAATAATGAGTCTGATAAGTCATTATTTCTATGAGTAATTTTTATTTTATACTTTCTAAGTAAAAAGAAATATGTTTACACTTATTATTGCAGTAATCACAAAAATAAAACCAAATATAGCTATTCTTGGCTATTACTTTATTATATTAATAAAGGAAGATTCATTACTTTAGAAGTTAAAAGGGAAAAAGTAGGGAATAAATTTAGAGATTAGATATATTATCAATCTCTATAGCTTTTTACCTAATTTTTTAAGTGGGTTTTCTTTTCATTTCTGGACAAAGAACTATATAATACAGTAAAGATTATGAAAAACAAAACCAAAAAATGACAAACAACAGTGATACCTGCAAAATCAAAATTTGTCAAATAGCTTATCTTACAACCAGTTACCTTAATTTCTTAACCATGAATGTTTGTGGCTGAATGCTATGTCATAAAAAGTATAATTGGAAAATTATCATATGGTTCATTTCCTTTTCTATTTTGGATTACTTTCAGGCATTATCTAGATAACACACCTAATTTGTAAATGCCACATTTATATATTTCCAAAATGTGCTATCCTTTATTTTTCAAAAGAATAATACATTGCTTCAGTGATAGAACATTTACCTAGCATGTACAAGGTCCTGGGTTCAATTCCCAGTGCAGGAAAAATAAAATAAAAATATATTCTTTATGAGCTCCAACACATATCTATATGTATGTACTACAGTCTTTAGAAAGTAAGATCCCTGTCTGATATAATTTCAGAATTTGCATAAAATATTATAAAAAAATAAAACTATTCTGTTTATTGAATAAAATTTACATTGGGGTAAAAAGCCTTTCAATTATAGTTTATATAATGGATTATAATTGTTGTACCTACAGAGGTTGGAGATAACAGAAATTCTTGGTACTGAAAGCCACAATTTTCTATTGTTTGTATCAACATGTCTCTGAAAAGAGAAAAGAAAGAGTAGAATTTTCACCCTTTTCTCGCAAGTGGAGTTCTTACATAAAATAGTGTATAGAAAGCTTCATTGTAAGTGAAAATTGTAACTGCACTCAAGCTGTTTAGAAAGATAATTATCTTAATTTCAGTTCCAGTATTTGAAAATTTATATTTTAATAAAAAGACACAGATAATTCTCTTATAAGTAAATAAAGATGCCAGATAATGTATCTAAATTGATGAAAAGTTTGAATTGCTAATCTACTGATGATGGATTTTCCATGGGTACTAAAACTATATCTTCCTGGTAGCAGATCAGATGAGAACACTCGTATGACGGACAGTAGGTGAATCAAGGACTCGGACGGATGACTTCTGCCCAACTGGACTACCATCTGACAAAATCCTGATGCAAGGCTTTTTCTTATGTCTAACTGTAGAGCAGGAAATGCCCATCAATAGGACCAGTTCTTGCTAAAAAACACTTCTATTTCAAAAGCAACAGTCACCAATATAAGTGACTAATATTGAAAAAAATCATTCCCATGAAAATCAATGCTCAGTCTGGAAAAATTCAAACATATCAAAATGGGGGACAATCAGTAGAACAAAACTTTGTAAATCTCCAGCACAGCCCTCCAGAAAATCCTCTGTAATACTTTTCATATTATTAGTCACAAGCAATACTAATAAATATTTAGTACATATAAAATGCCAGATTGTACATGTTTATTTTTGAGTTCTTTATTGTACAATAGTTCCTACTATAAAATACACCAAGATATAAAAAAGACAAATACATTTTTTACCTGGTAGAAGACATTTCAAAACCTTTAACATTTTCTAAAAGAATATACTTTGGTAATTTTTGTAATCTAAAAAAAAAGAAAAACAAATGGAATATTAAATATTTAACTACTAAGAAGTAAAAAGTAAAGAAAATCATTATTTGTGGGAACTATAAGGTTAAATAATTTTCTGAACTTTTAATAAAAATGTATATGATGGAAACAACTCAATTTTTTTTGTTTTTCTCCATAAACACGGCATGCTTGATAAAGTTTACACTTTAAATGTTACACTGAAGCTCATCTCAAAATATAGGTTTGTGCAAAGCCTTTGCATTACACAATTCAAAGGACTGCCACTCACATGGCATGAGAATATCTAGGGTTAACACAAATTTCTAGGCCATGGGCAACAGTATTCACAACAAAAGCATCATTTGCATTACCATTATGAACAGAGGCAATAGAATTAACTAGTAAGTTGTAACTCCCTGTCACTCACTGTCATGGCAAGTGTGAAATCATAAAACATTTGCAGTTATTCTATTAGTCATGGCATAAGACAATAAACGGTATGCATAGTATCTAAAGGGAGTATGTATAAACTACTAATTTCTATGAAATGAAACCCACATTCTTCCAGACCCATAGTCTTCAATATAAGATAAATTTGGACAAGAATGTAAGTTTTTACCTTGGGAGAATATCTAGAATGTATAAGAAGCTATTTGTCCTTGGATCAGTCATATCACCCTGTAAGCCAATTCTAAAGGAATAAAGAAAACAAAAAAAATTATAAAGAATTTTATATAAAGATATCAAATCACTTCTAAAAGGTCAAAATTGAGAATTAAAGCTGGTCCTCTCACAGATAAAAAATGATCATTTCTGTTGCTATCATAAACAAAATGCATTTACTTATTTACTCATTTAATTTAATTAAAAAGAAAAAAAGCCTTACATATCTAATAAACAAACCAAAAATTTATTTTTACAAAGCAATATGTCAAAGTAATTCACACAAAGCAAAGAATAATAATAAGTCAATGAGTAATAAAACCAATTATTCTCTTAAAATCACTTTGTTTAGGAAAAATACACATATACAATTGCTGGTGACATCTTGCTTAGTTCCAAAAGAGACAATAAGAATTCAGATAAGTTGTTTGGGTAGGTTGGTAAACTTGGAGTTGATGGCACAGTGATAATCATCATTTAAGCAGATTAAAAAATAAGATGACTAGACAATCTTGTCCAATGTAAATACCAACTTAAGCTGAAGACTATTCTATAAGCATGGTTAAACAAACTAGGGTCAGGACGGGTTATATCAACAGGTAGTATCTGGGCTAGTAATTACACTTCATAAAATTTAGAATATGATCAAGGGTCAAGTAGAAAGGAAGACTTGGATTGGGCCTGCATAACAGGAATAGAGGATCAGGGTTTAAAACCTTGCTACTTATTAGCCTCATAGGATTAAATAAGTTACTTGACATCACTTAGTTTGTTCATTCCTGAGAGGAGGGCCAAAACCATCAGTGGATTGAAGACTTGCAAAGGGATTAGAGTGGATTTGAATAGATTTCTCAGAATTCTTTGTTTCTTCAGATTCTGTCCCTTTCCTCTGTGTTCCAAATGATAACTATAGAATCAGTTACTGCTGCCCTCAGCAGCCAGAGCTGAGCTAATGCAGTCATGGTATATGGGGTAGCAGGAAAGATACTGGGGGCCCACTGCAGTAATTCATGAATGCTTCATTGTGCTGGGGCTGCATTCTGTTCTGTATATCCTACCTAATTCATATATAGCTAGAAACACCTTTATGTGGAATATCTTCTACCTTCTCAAGTAAACTCCTCATTGTCTTTCAGATACAGCTCAGACATCACCTCTGTAAATGTCTAGTACACAAAAATGTTTCCTAGTACACAATGAGCCATTTTATGCTCTAGACTTGCTCTCTCAGGGCTTTCAATATTTTTTTAGTATATGATTTACATCATATTATAAGATGATTATTTACCAGTAATTTACATTAAACTATAAGCTCCCTAAGGACAGGAACTCCGGCATCAAAAACAATGTATGGCATTTAGGTACACAATAAATCCTTGGGGAATTAGTTTCCCAGTGAGCTATTAAAATATACCCTAAGAATATTCATTTGAGTCCAACTATTTACTAGATGTTCCTCCACTTAAAAGTAAACATATTAAAACTGGAATGTACAAAATGATTAATAAATCCTGACTCTGATATTCACTAATTTTGTTGTTGTAGGAAAGTTACTTAACCTTTCTATGGCTCAGTTTCTCACTTATAAAACATAACAATAATGCCTATCCCATAAGCCTATTAAATTATATGCTCTATGTAATATTATTATACATTAATAGTGATTATTACTATTTAAAATGACTTAAATTACTATTATTAAAAATATTTAAGCAAAGATAAATTAGTCAAGGTTTCATTTGGTGGTAGAGCACTTGCCTAACATATGCAAAACCCTGAATTCAATCCTCAGCATGCAAAAAAGGGGGGAAAAATATTTCATTTATAGTATAATTCCTTGAAACACATAATCAAATAAATATTATTTAATTCCTTAATGAAATTATAATGTAGCTGTGAAAAATTCATAATATTAAATGCAGATATCAATTTTAAGACATGTAAAATACACAAATGCATGTTAGACTAGCTTTTGAATTTTATAGTTAAGTAATTATGACTTGACTATATATTATGATAATTCACTTTCATTAACCAGTATTAGAAAGATATTCTGAATGCTCAATAGTTTAAACAAATTAAGATTGTTTGGGCCATGTTATGGTTTGGATATAAGGTATTCCCCAAAAGCTCCTGTGTTAGTGCAGGGATATTCAGAGGTAAAATGATTATGAGAACTGTCACCTAATCAATCCAACCTATTTTGAGTGGATTAACTGGGTGTCAACCATAGGCAAATGGGTTGGCTGGAGGAGGTGTGTGACTGGGGCTATGTCTTGGAAGGATATGTCTTCCTTGCAGCCTCTTCCCCTTTCTCTGCTTCCTAGCCACTATGTTCTGAGCTGCCACATTCTTCTGCCATGATGCTCTGTCTTACATCCGGCCCAAAGCGATGAGCTGGCCAACCATGAACTAAACCTCTGAAACTATAAGCCCCAAATAAACTTCTCCTACTTTAAGTTGTTCTTGTGGAACATTTTGATCACAGTGACAGAATGCTCACTAACATGGGCCAGAAATAAATGTTGCAGGTTAGGCAGATATAAAGCAGGCATGCATATCTACTGTTGATAAAAGCATTTTGATCATCTGACTATAATAGCCATTTACTTTATGATTAATGCTGAATTATAAATATGAATAGATGAAATAAATTATTTATAAAAAATTTTAAAGCTATAAAATGCAGCTGATGGTCTTCCGGAACAGAGAAATTATACAGACTACTAAGCATTATACATACCTTGTGAATGGCTGACATGGGGGGCTCATTAAAATCATATTGAAAGATAATTTGTCAAACTCTTCCAGTGTAATGCCCTAAGGAATGCACATTTAGCAAAACAAACAAACAAACAAACAAACAAACAGAAAAACACAGAATAAGGAAGAATGAAAAATGCTAACCAATTCTGACTAAATATATCAAAAATCATAACAGTTTATATAACATAATACTTTCCAATTCAACTCCAGTAAAACTAACTTCTCAAAGCAATCTTATGAGGAAGTAAGGTAGTAAACTAAAGCTGTGAGAAATTAGGTGACCTCTCACAAGGTCCTGAGACATCCAAGGCAGAGTTAGAAAGAAAATTTATTTCATCTTAAGTATCTGTTTCCTCTGTGATGTCTCATGTATAACACTGATTTGTTTTCTGAGTTAAACATGGAGAATTTTATTTTACAATTAATGATCACTGGCACAGAATCTAAAAAGTTTTTAGGTACTATCTACCAGTAATGGTTTTTAATTAGCTAATGTGATAGATACACTGATTAGTGTTCATCCCTAACATGAAAGCCTCTGTTAATATACCACCATATATAAAATGGGCTCATTATCAGAAATCTACAATTATTTCATTGTTTTGCAGTTGTGTGCAGTCAAAACATTTCAAAAGATTATAGATAAGAGTAATTAGAATGATCTTAAATTTGCTCATTTTTTATATATCAGAAGATAAAGAAGCACAAGTCAAGTGTTTGCCAACTCTCATTAAAAACTCTTCATATACATCTTTATAAATTTAAAGAGATCAGCCCAGAACCTTTCTAATTATAACTCACTTCTGAGAAGTTCAAGTACATGGATGAAGCAGGATAATCTTTACACTGAGTTCTTTGAAGAGTTAACTTGGGAATTGTCAGCTGTCTCCATTGTAGTCAAGGTCAATAACACATATACAAGACAATAAGTGACACGCATCTTGAGGCAGTACTCATTTTTTTCCCTAATTTTATTAGGAGAAATTTAAAATATTTAGAAAAAGAAAATGAATTTTGTCAAATGTTTTCTGATAGTTTTGTTCTTTCCAATTATTACTATGCTGAATAATATTAATAGAATTCCTAATTTTAACCTACCACATTCCCAAAACAAAAATCCCCTTTGGATTAGTTATATTATTTTAATTAGTTATATTATTCCTTTAATGAGCTTCTGATCTCTTTGTTCATATTTTATTTAGGACTACTAAGTTAATATTCATAAGACAATGGTTTTCTTATTTGGCAGCATATCATACTGATTCAATAAAAATTTATTGAGGAATATTTGTTATCATGTCCTGCCCTATCAACTCTGATGCTATTTTACCCACATATACTCACAACAATTAAACCTTTCTTGAGGATTGTACCAAATATAATTATAAAGTAACTTTCTAAGACTCTAAAATATTTTTGGCCTTGAAATCCATCTTATCTAATACTAATTTTGAAACACCTTTTATCCTTTATTAGCATTTGTCTGTTATGTCTTTGTTCATTTTTTAGATACAATATGTTGTTCATATCACAAAGATATAGGGTCAATCAACAGAGTAGGAGGAGGAGAGCAAGGCGGAGTGGGGAGTGGAAAGAAGGGAAAGGGGAAGAAATATGGAATGAATTTAACAATATAATATTACATACATATATAAACATACCAAAAGAATTTCACCTTTATTATGTGTAGAAAATACTAATCAATAATAAATAAATAAATGAATGAAAGGAAAATCAATATAGGAGAGGAGAAAGAATAAAGGGATGGAGGAGGGGTGGGAAAGTGAGAAGAAAGGGAATTGAAATCAAATTCCTTGCATGTTTTGTCAAACTTAACCAAAATATTAAGTATAATTATAATGGTCTAATAAAAAGCAATGTTCATAAATTAGTTCATCAATATTTCTAGTACCTATTATATGCCAGGCATTGTGCTAGGTCTAGGAATACAACAATGAACACAGCAGACGAGGCTTCTGCTTAAATAAACTTTGGACACGACTGACTAGTAATTTCCCACTTGCTGTCTAGACAACTTATTGATTTTAGTTTTATCATCAGTTATATTTTAGACTGAGGCATTCTATCCTTGGTTAAAAATCTATGTGTGCACTTTCAGGCCTAACCGTAGGCAATTACAAAGGCTTTCCAAGGCAGCCTCCGAGGGAAGACCTGCTTTCCTCACACCAGAGCTGGCCCCGTCAATACTGCATGGCAGTTTCTCAAAGGAGTCACAGTTCTGATCTCCTGCCCTCCTGAACTATCATGCTTTTCACACTTTGCATTCCTAATTCCAGAACTTCCATTTCTAATTCTCTTTGATTGAGACCTTAGGTAGAAATGCCCCACCAAAGAACTCCTTCCAGGGAAAGGGAAAGGAAAAGGAAACCTTGAAGACAGTTCTCCCCCAAATTCAGGGCTCAGTACTTTTCCACTTCTTACACTCTTCACTCACTCTCCCCTTAATGCAAGGGGCTTCCTCATCATTGAGATGGCCTGACATTTATACTGATCCATAGGGACATAAGGAATACAGGGAGTAGGCATTTTCTCTAGTTTTGGAGTCTCACTCATACCATAATGGTAAGGAGGCAAAGGCTCGGCTTTCTCTTTCCCAGCTCTGCTGAGTTCCTGACAAAAACATTAAATAATGTCTTAAAATATTGATAGCTTCATTTATCTGCTATAAACATATTTGTTGAGTCTTACTGCCCCTTCTCACTCCATTATCATCACTAYATTGCAAAACTTTACAACATTCTTATCCTTTTTCTAATCATCATTTCTTTCTAATGTGGTGGCTTCCTGCTTGGATTATATATTTTGATTCAGCTCTTGCTTAGCTAGAGTAAGTAATAAGTCTGTGAATTCTTGGATATTTTATTTTATAAATTTTTCATCTGCTTCTATTAAATATTTTTGTTCCATTTGATTTACTCTCTTCATCAGAAGCACTGATTATATTTATCATGGATCATTTTTGTCTTCAGTGGGTATGATTTACTTTTCAACATTCTTATCTTTTTTTTCCATTTTATTTTGCTTTATTTTTCTCAAGCTCCATTCTTTAAGAGTCTATTTAGAGTACGGTCTACTTTGCTTTTTGCTACTCTGGCATGACTTTCATTTTATAATGGTTTTATTTTGCTCCTCTTTCTTTCCAGACCTTTTATACTTTTCAAACCTTATCATTGCTTTTGCATATACTTATCTGATATCTTAAGATAGGTTTTATTTAGTGCTTGAAGATAATGGAGACTTGTTTAAAATTTTCTTCTGCTTTTTACCATCATTTTTCTACTGTATATTCTGCTTTCTTGTTTACATATCTTATCTCCTTTAAAAATTACTAAGTATAGCCTCAAATTGGTTCCTTTCCAATTATTATTCATTTTTTTTATTAGAGGCCACTTGAATGCAGAAATTTGCTAAAAGATGGGGAGAAGCATACTGTTGTTGGTAAAAGCCACTGGACCATTTAACCTAAGAGCAGGCYTCTGTCCCTCCTCCACACTCTCACTTCAGGGTGAGCAGGATGCATACACAGGTTGCAATGGAGCTTTCAGCCTAGTGAGTTGGGGCTTTCATGTCTCCTCTCCTGACCAAACATTATGGGGTATATTTTTCTCACTTTCCATTTTTTCCTTGTTAATTACACACTGATACACAGTGGTTTGATTGCAATTTTGTGATCTATCATCTGACAGAATATAGTAATTTCTTTATCGTAATTTCTTTTAAATTTAGATGACTTACCTTCCAAATAAGCTACCAGAAACCAATATTTGACAGTATTTTTAAGCATGTTTTCCTTGCTATAAACATAATGAAATAAGAATAATAACTCACTTCAATTGTCTTTGCCAGTAACTGTGTATGAGGAAAATTATACTTGTATACTTCATTAGCAACTGTGTTTACATCAACGGCAGCCACCACTTGTGCAGGTATACAGCTTTCTGAAACGATAAATGGAATATCTTAGAAAGAAAAGATCTTAATCTCATTTGCTCATCAGAGAAAAGTCAAAACAGCCGAATTTAGTATAGTATATTTCCTTACTTACTCAATTAGTTAGCCAGATTTCAGACCTCAATGGAAAACTAGGAAAGGAGGAACCAGGCATGAAGTAGAATATTTGAGTATGTACTCTGATTCATCTCTGTAACAGCATTCCAATGCTAAAAATAAGATTTAAATTTTAGTCATTACCTCATATTTACTTTTAACTCTCATTAAGATATATGATTATGAGTCAAAAGAAAAGTATAGAATATTCTAAAAGTCACAACATTTGGAACTTTATATAAATAAATTACCATGTGTTCTTCACCTTCTCACATTAAAACAAAGCTGCTTCATAATACAACTGAAAATGCTTTTAGGTATTTTTAATAGCTTGGGATATAATTTACATATTACAAAATTTACCTGCTTTAAGTTCTGATAAGTTTTTACAAGTGAACTATTAATTGGTGTCCAAATGTAAAAGATTCACAGACAAAAACTCATGAAAGACCAGGACAGAATATAAGAACAAGGGACGCAATTAAAAGGCATGTTTTCACTGCCCATCTGTCTTCTGCTGAAGAAAAGCATTTTCAAAATGATTTTGGATACAGASAATTTTAACATATTTTTTAATGACAGTCAAAATTTGAACTGTGTAATTGTAGCTGTTGCTATATTTTGAAATTATGATCCTTATCCCTAAAATATGTATAAACCCAACCCAATTATGTGCAGATCCTGTCCCAAAACAGGACAAAATATGAAGAGTTTTAAAAATAAAAGTATTTGAGACAACAAAATCATCACAGAGAACATAACATTATTACAATAATAGATCCAAATAGTTATTTCTTTAATAACCATTTTCTGATAGTTAGCTTAGTTTAGCCCAAACATTAAAAAGTGGAAAAAAATGAAGGTCTACGGAGCTACCTTACACTGAGGCCTAAAAGAGATGAGGCCATAGAGAAAAATAGGTGGGGGTGAGGCATAAATGTCTCCAAATAAGTATTTACCAAGCACCTTCTAGGCTTAAGTCACTTAGCTAGGTATAAAATTCAGCTAGGTATCCTGCTTAAAAGTCTCTGTGCCTTATTTATAGGTCTTTAAAGGTCTCTGTGCCTTATTTATTGGTCACTGGAAACTTTGAGGTCTAGTTAGTTTATACCATAGGCAGCTGCCTCCAACTGAATTTAAATTCAATAACTAGTTTCCTACCTTAGTTCAAGTTAGTGTTAAACGTTCTATCTTTTTATTTTTTATTTTTATTTATTTATTTATTTATTTATTTATTTATTTATTTTTATTGTTGGTCGCTCAAAACATTACATAGTTCTTAATACATCATATTTCACAGTTTGATTCAA